ATTTATTTTTAATTTCAGGCATTAATGTACTTAAAATCTTTTCTGTTGAAGACTTAAAACACGATTTAATAAAGTTATTCTTTGGAAGTTTGACCATATGTCTTTCTTTTTTTTCTTTTCTTTATTCATTTTTAATTTTTTGATAAGGATAAAATGTTATGCAGAGATGGATAGTCACGGTGGGGAGTGGGGGGGCGCGAAGAGTATTCTTCTTGCGAGGGGGGGCGTAACAGAAAATAATTGAGAAGCACTGGATTAGAGGATGATAAACTCCAATCTGAAGCAATATTCTGCAGCCATGGATTAGAAAATAGAATAACTGTTAAATCCTGAGGAGAAAAGAGAAGTCAAAGCGTTGTGTGGCGAAAAGATCTGGTTCCTTTAGGGAAGGAGCATCGATACTGAGCCATGTCCTGCTTCACAGAGCTCAGAATGAGGAAGTAGCTCGGTTTGAGGCGAGCTGGAAAGCCCTCAGTGGGGATTTCTCTGAGCCGGTTTCCTGTACGGTTAGGAGGAAGTTGGCGTTATCTTCAGGTGGCTCCATGACGTGATTAGGCAGATAAACACAGGTGGATGAAACCCTGCTGGCATCCCAACCCTCCAGGATGGGAAAAGAAGCTGTTAGAATTTGGCTATAATTACTCACTTTAGCATAGCATGCTATCACATGATCTATGTCAATTACTGATTGTTTTATTTCCTTATAGAACTATATTTTTATGTTAAAGTCTCTTTTCTTTCTTTTTCTTTCTCTGTTGCATTACATCCATTAATGCTAACATGCATAAATGCTAAATGCATAAACTAAACTAAAACTTCTGACAACTTCTCAGTTAAAGACACGACATTTTCATTTGGTTTTATCTGTTCTGCTGTTGTTGGGAAAAGCTATGAGACGACCTCCATCCACTGTGCTAGAATTTGGTTAAAATTACTCACTTTAGCATAGTATGCTATCCAGTGGCGGGCCGTGCATTTTACACCTAGGCCTTCAGTAGTGCTCCGTCTGAATCAATTCACCCCTCAATAACTATTTTATGGTTATAGAAATCATCTTAATATGTAGAAATACAGTAGGGATGTCCCGATCCAGCTTTTTGTATTAAAGTTGATTTTTTTTTTCTACTTACTTAGTTGTCAGACTCATGTTGAACAGGGATTTACTCTTATAACAACTAAAGTTTACACAGACCTGTGGGTTAGGAGATGCTAATGCTAATGCTAATGCTCGGGTGGGATCGGACTTTAAAAAAAAATGTATCTGGAGTCTCGATTGGCATTTTCTCATGCCGGCCGATACGATCCAAATATCGGATCAGGACAATCCTAAAATACAGTCTAAAGATCAGGGGTGCACCTTCTACTCCTGCAGCTACAGCAGGGAGCCCCCCCCCCCCAAACAAAACAAAACAAAACAAAAACATCAATAATGTCCTCATAAACTCGCAATACCATTTAGGAAAAAAACAACATTTTACTCACTTACTTTTCTTGAAAAGTCCGTTTTGAAAATGGTCTTGACAGTAAATCCGCCACGAAATAATAAAATAGCTATTACACTAACTAACACAACTATATTTCGGTTTGTTTGCTAGCTTTGCCCTGATTGGATATCTGACTATCCAATCAGCGGGTGTGGGTACGGT